TGCTTAGGGCCTCTAAATATAGGCTTATGCTTATCGGTTTCGATTTTTAAGTTAGATTTTTAGCTTATATGCCGGTGGAGTCATACATCTGTCTTACATAAGCCAATTTTTTTTCCAACCTAGTTTTTTTATTTAATAGTAGTATATAAAGAGTGGCTTATGGCTTTAAAAAAACCAAAAAATTGCTTGTTTGTTTATGAGTGGCTTATTTTTCTCTTCTAATTCGAAGATCTTTTATAGATTTTTGGTGTGCATATGTATGCATATAGATCATCCATAACTGTGTGGCTATCTAGCTAGCATAAAAATCTATGCGTGATTGCTTGGACAGAGTTGGGTACGTACGGGACGCAGGCAGCGGTATGTACTGACATACGTACAGGGATGAAAATGACCGAGGGTAATCGTTCGATGATATTTTAAAAAATTATAACTCATGAGACATACCACCACGATAATATCCATAGCATCATTTTATTATTTATATTTTGACAAATATGTATATCCATAGCATCATTTTATTATTTATATTTTGACAAATATGTATAGTCAAATAATTCTAAAAATATAAAAATACTTTGAGAATTTTAATCTCAAACAAATTATAATTTAATCATAACTACTTGAAAAACACAACTAAATTGTGTTGAAATTATTATTTTCCAATAATAGATCCAATCTAATGGTGTAAAATAATGGGTTTTAAAGATTGATCAGATGGTTGATAATAGTGGGCCTACCGATTTAAATGAAAATCAATGGTTAGATTTTTTAATTGCCACGTGGCAATTTGAGAGCGTTTTAAGGAGTGCCATGTGGTGGCTTGAGAATGTTTCTAAAAAGTTTAATAGATTTTTAGTATATAATAGATAGATAGATAGATACCCTTGTGCAACATGTCCTTCAAATGATGCTACATCCCTCAAGATCCTGCATTTATAGTAGGTTGAATCAATAGCATATGGAAAAAAGAAAAAGGGCACTGCTGGCATACATGTAGGATTGCACAATTCTGTATGTTTCAGTTATCAGAGAAGTTGATCCTTAAGCTTGTTCGATTTGGAGGGAACTGAAGGGAGATTGAGGAAGATAATTCCACACCACAATAGTTATGGAATAAAATCCTCTCTAATCCCTCTCCTTGGGGATTAACTGAACATGGCTTAAATAGAAAAGATAATGACATACAAAGCAATGGGATTGAAGAATGGCACCCACAACTGAGTTTGAGATATCCAATTATTTATCCACCATTAGTTCCTACAGTAGCATTTTGATGGCGCCTACTAGCAGGGGGAAAATCTGGCCTATTCCAGCCAAAATCAACTGGAATATTGCTTATCAAGTACTCCAAGCTTTTAGCAGAGGGAAGTCCACCTTGGTATATTTTAACATATATTTGGTTATTGAACATTTAGAACATGCACAATATTTGTGCAAAAAGATTATAAGAAACTTTTGGACTTTCAGTTTGGTTCATCTCACATTTTTCTTTTGCAAGTACACATTCTCATGTTCCTTTTTGGCAGTAATGTTTGTAAATCCACATATTATACATATGGGAGTTTTTCAAGAACTAGGAAGGTAGCCCGCGCGTTCGCGCGGGCATGAGTCGTACGCCAAGTTTGAGGTATTTATAAAAGCGACATATTAACAGGAGAACATCTGCCACGATTTCTCCATAAATTATTTTTGTCAGCATTAATTTATTCTTTAATAATATTTTAACCTATTAGATTTATATTATATCAAATATAAGTAGTATCTATAAGTAATTATTTATAATATTCTTCATCATTTTAAAAAAAAGGTAGATTTATTTTCTTTAGAAAACATGTCAACGAAAGTAAAAGTAAGTGTAAAATAAAAATTAAGGTGTTTTTATTTTTTTAATTGTATAATATATTATCATAATATGTTAAAGGATGAATTGGGTGGGACATTAAGCTACACGAAAAATGTACGGGTTTATATAGTCTAATATGATTGATATATTTTGAGAGGCGATCTACCTATGAACATTTCATGTAGAGTGAATGAGAGGCTCCACGCAACCTAGCAGGAATACAATAACGTCGAAATATCATTGCACTGTAATATTTTTGGAATTTCATGTACCATAAATAAATACTTGTTAAAAGGTATAGGAGCGCACACATGCATGTTATGCAGTGAGCCAGACAGAGATTCTGATAGACTTTGTTTTTTTCCCAAAAGATAGATATGATGTTATAAAAATTGGATCCATCGGTTTAAAGTGGAAACCGATGGTCGATTATATGAGTGTTTTTTAATTAATAGAATGCCACATAGCGACTTAGAAGTGTTTATAGGAGTGCTAGGAGCAATCATATGTATGATTTAGATGCTATGATCATTTTAAGATCATTTATTTATCTTTTAAATTTAAAATATCATTTATTTACAAAAGCATCAAGATCAATTCGTTTATGTAAATAGCCCCCACGTGTATGTTGTGAGAAATTAATAAAGTTTTTTTATGAAGAAATTAATTAAGTTGGTAGAAAGTCATTAGATGTCTAACAATGTACTTTTAATGGGTTAGTTTCATTAAAAAATAAGCTAGCATATTTTGATTTTCAATGACAAATTTTAATATTTTCTTTTATTTAGTGGAGCACTCAAGATGGATGTAGGTCTAGAATGCAATAAATTCAATATAGATATTAAAATTATATATTTATTTGAAAAATAAAAATAGATATATAATTTATGGTACAAATAATTGTAAAGACTCGTAAAATTAATCCGGCCTTTATTAAAAAGTCTAAAATAGCACGTTTAAGTATAAATTAGTTAATATATTTCTTTGTTAGTTTAATGCGTACAGAATGTAACGGTATAAACTTTATAAACTTTATTTAAATAGTGTATGATTTGAAAATAATGCTCCACATAAAGGGTTCACGTATACCTTTATTTAATGGGTAAAAATATAGTGGTGTAAACTTTATTTTGGAAAGAAATATATCATAATATAATCATATAAGTTATGATTATATAAAATTTAACTATATTAACTGTTATCTCGATTATATATATATGAAAAGAAAAAGGAGGGAAGGAGATGGAACCGTACGTACGTACGTACGGATGGTGTGGAATTGTACGTTTTAAGATCAATCTAGTTAATCTGACGGTATGTACTAGTGGACCCACTATTTTAAGTAAAAATCAATGGATAGATGCTTTTCTTTTTTCTCAGAATTTCTTTGATTTCTCTAATTTATTAGAGCACCAAGTGGCGGCTTAGGAGCGTTTGTAGGAAGATTAATGGACTTTTAGTATATAATAGAAATAGATATTTTGAAATGAACAATTGAATAATCAGGAAAAAGCCGAGAATGAAAACCACTTCCTTCTACATCATCACCAACAATTTCTGAATCATGTTAACATTCATAGCTACAGATTATGTGAACATCACCCAAGTGAACTCTTTACAAAAACATATGAACCTTATTATAGTGAGTTTAGTAAAGCACTCATAACAGGCATAGGTAGTTCCTATACGTACTAATGAATCACCCATAAAAAGCATAGGCAGTTTGTATACGTACGTACATACCAAGCACACCGGAAAACCAAACACGTAGTTTGGACGTTATGGTCTCGGGCTAATACAGCGCATATTGCAATAGTATAGTGAAGCTTAAAGCATATGCAGTCCAAAAATAAGATCATAAGCATGGCCTCAATCAACTATCAAGCCCTTGATCTGCTCCATCTTCAGCCTCTTCAAACTCGCCTTCCTATCATTAAAAACATGATATTGTTAGTCAATCTGATATTCCCATACTTTCATTTTAGAACCTCAGAATAGAACCAATACAAACAACAAATAAATTTACTTTAGAAATCATTTGTTTCTCCATTTCCTCAAAAACAAAAGAGCAATTGGTGCTTGGTGTGTAAACGCACCTCAAACCTATAGTAAGACCATTCAGCATATAAGCCATGGAGGAATTTCTGTGGCAGATACTCGTTGACCATGGGAATCACTTTGAAGAAAGGTTGGAAGGAGTGTTTGACATTAGCATCGTCCCACTGTAAGTGCTCCAACCATTCTTGGTCACAATGAACAGCCTTCAGATTACACGGGACAGTTGTGAAAGGTAGTGTCATCAGCTGAGGACAACCCAGCACTTGCAAGCATTCCAATGAAGGAAAGTGGAAGGAGGAATGGCAGATGGAAGTCAATCTCTTTAATTTGATCAAAGCAAACCTTTTGAGGCAAGGTTGTGAAAGAGGTTTTCTTTCTTTTTCATCAGCATTTGGAAGATTGTCACTGTTCGAAACACTTCCAATTATTTGCTGTAGTGCCTCACAGTTAAATACTATCAGATCTTCAAGATATGGAAAACGTTGAATCCAGGATATGTTTGTTAAGCTAATGCAAGTTATAAGATCCAACCGTTTCAGGTTCTGAAAGAGATCCTGGCTTTCAACTCCTTTCCAAAATATATCTGTGAAGTGATGACCACATATGTATAGCTTCTCAAGATTAGAACTTCGATGTGGCACATTGCTTTCGAATACTATTTGTTCCTCATGTGTGAAGATGTATAACTCAGACAGATTCTTTTGTATCAGATCATTTCCAAAAAAACTGTCTGAAAATGCAAAACCTTTCCATTCATCTAGATACTTTGTTAAAATGATAACACACAGAGACCTGACTGGTAAGTCGGTTTTGCAGATCATGTTAAAGTACTTTATCATATTTATGGTGATTCCAAGAGCTTTCAAGTTTCTCATGCATTTAAGAACACCAAATGGTGGTTCAAATGTAGAAGGTTGTTCCAACTGGAATGAGCAAAAGTCTGCAACCTGCAGTCTGGAGAGCTTTGAAAGAATAGTTTCAGGCATTTCTCTGATAGGATTTGACCTAAGAAGCAAGTACTCCAGCTTAAAAAGGGATCCGAGCTCTTCAGGTAAGTACTTGATTTTGTTATCCGATAAATTCAGATAGTACAAGTTCATAAGGTTGCAAACTTCAGTAGGAAATGTTTTGAGCCAGTTCCGTGAAAGATCAAGGTATTGAAGGGAGATAAAAGAACACAAGCCAGTTACTGAACTTTGACTTAAATGATTATCCTGAAGTATCAGCACGGTAAGCTTGGTCTGCTCCCCAGAAATAGCAGGCAGCTCTGCTATTTCAGTCCCCACTGATAATATTTGTTCTGCAGCATGCCAGTGAGATACTGTTTGTACAACCCACTTATTCTTGTCCCTTCCTTCGTTGCTTACAATCCATAGTGCCATGTCACGTATCACATCATGCATTTTAACTAGTCTGTCATCATCAGTTTCCTCCAGAAGGCACTTGTCTACCAACTCACGAATTCGTGCATATCCTGCCTTGTAACATCTTTGAATATCCTCCTCCTCTACTAGACCCAGTCCCATCCAGTACTCAGATAGTTTGTTTCTATCTAACAGATAATCATCAGGCCATAAGGCGCATGATGTGAAACAATCTTTCAGATTAGTATCACTTAGATATTCATAACTGAGTTTCAGTCGAGCAAACACACTTTCTTCGTTGCAAACTGGCCCTTCAATCTCATTAAGCCGTGATTGCTGAAGAAAGTCGATGCAATTCTGCCATTCTCGTGGATGCCTCTTGGTAGACATGGCCCTGCCAACTACAATAAGAGCTAACGGCAGTCCGGCAAGTTCATTTGCAACCTCTTTTGCCAGTGGAAGTACAAGGGGGTGATTTTTAATAATTTCAGTACCAACATTTTCCTTGAAAAGATGCCATGCATCTGTTTCATCCAGGCAATCTACTTTAATCCTTTGCCCATTCTTGACACCCATTTGGCCACAAACACTTTCAGAGCGTGTTGTTAGCAACAATTTTTGTTTGTAATTGCCAATTGAGCTAACTTTGTTTGGAATCCCAACCTTATCAAGATCAACATGTTCCCACAAATCATCCAATAATATAAGAAAATTTTTACTTTTGAGAAATTCATATATGATAACTGCCTGAGATTCTGTGTCATTCTTCTTCTGCAGCATCTGTTCCCCAACAATTGAGTCTTGAACCTTCAAGGGCAACAAGTAAAAAAGTACTTTTGTCATTTGGAGCAAACTGGCAGAGAGCTTAACTAAATAATGTTGTAAAGTATTTAAAATTAGAAGTATATGCAGTTTTTTGAAATATCAAAATGTTAGTTGGCTGCCAGGAACCCTTATGTAACGCTAGTTATTACTCCCTCCGATCAGTTTTATATGCTGTTTCCGACAGCCAAAATATGTTATGTGTAAGTCATTTCGCTGGTCCGAAACAACAAATATTTCCATCCGGAGGGAGTATATTACATGATAGTAGTACCTGATGACAGTCAATATAGTATCCTAGAAATCGTAGCTCCTATAAAACAAACTATAATTTTAGCTGGAGCTTTTAGTCTCTGTGAATTGCTCATTAGGCCGCTTACCCTAGATGGTTTGTAATTTTTGTCTTTTGGGCAAGCTGGATGCATTCATCTTTGCAACAAATATACTTTAGCAAGATACAGAAACATGTACATCAAGGGACAACGATTAGTTTCATCTAATTAGTTAAATACAAACTTTGATCACTCCCTCGTTAAAGGGAGCACAACATACCTTTGCAACAGAGCAACCTTTGGAAGCAGTAACTCGAATAACAACATCAAAAGCAGGGTTTTTGTGAAACAAGTTATTGATCTGATAGAGCAGATGTGTCTTTCCCACACCTCCAGGGCCCCACAACCCAACCTTGCTTACAGCCTCATCCTTGATGAACTTGACAGCGAGGTTGCGATACCGATCTGTACCAGTTAGGCTTATGTCAGTTATGGGCACTTCAGTGCAGGCCTGTGGCACCATGACACCATATTCTTCAAATATGCCCTCACTGTATATCTTCTCTACAGCCTGACAATTTGCTGCTGCACTCTTGGCTATCATGTAGTTTACACAGATACAAGGGGACAGACTCCCCATGCACTTGGTCCTCTTATCATACTTTGCTTGGATTGTCTCAGTCTCCACACATACATGCTCAGCACGCTTCAGCCATCGTTCAACTTCATGCCTTGGCTGCATACCTTTTCGTGCAGCACCCTCCACCTTGGTCTCAACATCGCTAACCCTCTCCCTTAAACGCTCGGTGGCAGTTTTGAGAGCACGCACGAACTTCTGGGCTTTGAAGAAATAGGCAGCATGCTGTTTTGCGAGGCTTATCAAGGGAGTCAGGACAACACCACAGCACTTGATGCCAATGATCTCCATGGAGTTTATGGCATTCCTTCAATCAGAAGAAGTATGTACAGTGGTTGCTAATTGCAGTTGGCATGGAACCATTTCTAGTGTAAGACATCAAAGCTAGAGAAGAGCCTCTGTATGTCAAGACTTTCTGTGTCGTGTAGATCTAAAAGTTGTCCTGCGTTCAAATAGGCTAGGCATGTGGGTGTGGACCCTCCCATAATGTTTTGAGTCCCAATCACCTAAACTACTCATGGGATAGATCAGGATTAAGTTCCTCTCTCATTGACGTCTTAAAATAAAAACTGAATGTCAATGACTGAATGACAAATAATGATAGAAAACAAAGGCAGGTTTGTGAATAAAATCAATATCATTGACAAGTAATAATCGAAAACAGTAGGTTGCACATTGATTCAAAATTAGAAAGATCACTTAGTAATTTAATACCTTGCATATGCAAACTTTTCCACGGAACGGCTCAGGGTTGAGTTCCTTAATTTAAACCAACGTCCCAAGAGAGAAATAGAATAATCACGGCAAATAATGATCGAAACCAGTAGACTGCACACAGGTTTGGAAATCACAACAGGGAAGATCATTTAGTAGTTTAATAGATAACGATATGCATAGATTCAATAACAAGGATTTGTCTGAACAATAATAAGCACTTAGTTATTCTCTCACTGATTGATGTCTTAAGAGAGATGCAATATCAATGAAAATATTAATGGTCGAATACAACGCCCAGATAGGCCCAAAATTAGATGGATCATTTGGTATTAAATATCTACATCCATGCTTTCCATGGATTTGATCAGGATCGAGTTTCTTTATAATGATAAGAGAAAACTTGAACAGCGACCATTAATATGATCCGGGCCCCCACCGACCCACGGTCCATCAGGTATACGGGCCCCGCAGGCACCCACTGTCCATCAGGCCTTCACACGTGTCCATCGGGCCAGAGATGTTAACCTAGCCTGGCTCTGATACCAATTGTAGGATCGTAAAGGGCCTTACCACTTTTAGGATCGAATCACAAGAACTAAGCCAATCAGAGGGGGGGTGAATGGTTGGTATACCCAAAAACCAAAAACTTTTAGCGGAAATAAAAGTTACCCTCGAAATCGATGGATCGCAGTCTGACCGTAGTAGTTGTGCCGGTCTGACCACCTGATGAACGTCGGTCTGACCGATGTAGATCGATCAGTCGAACCGCCGAAAACGCCTGTTGCCAACTCCTGTAGCCGCCGGTCTGACCGCCGTGTGCCCACCGGTCTGACCGCCGCGATGCCGCCGGTCTGACCGCCGGTGCGCCGCCGGTTAGACCGCCGAAACCTGGTGAAACACAAATCAAAGAACTCTTAAAGTGGATGACGACTTTATTTCTTCTCTCTGTGTTTACAAAGTGCACCAACAGCACTCCTTACAAAAATTTCAACTAAACTCGAAACCCTAACTCAAAACTCAACTCAATTGCTCTCTATAGCGATACCGGGAAGCCTCACGCTCCCCCTCTATTTATACATGAGGTAGGCAGCCTAAAGCCACGAACTAAACTCATACTAGGAGTCCTAAACACCTTAGGAAGCCCACTAGTACAAGAAAGAAACTTTAGATAATCAAACGTACCAAATTTGGACTCCTTCCAAATTCGACTCCGCATCCCATACGCACACAATTCCTCCATCGTATGCCATATGGAATCTCCATTTACCACGTGCATCAACTCTAGCCTAAGTATTCCGCATGATCTCTGACCACCACGGACGTCGTCTTATCCCCAAGCCGACTCCCGGTCCATCACCGCAAATACTCTCCCGAGACATCGAGTCACCTACACATGGAACAAACAAAGAAACCATATTCCGAGACCAAGCTATCTCCAACTTGACTCATTAGCAGCAAACAATATTATTACATATGTATAGTATCCATCTAGAAGTCATAATCATGGAATAAACTCGGATATCCAAATAAACAACCCGAAACCGAAATTGACACAGTGTCGGCCGGTCAGACCGTGGGCTGCGCCGGTCTGACCGCGCATTACACGCCGGTCTGACCGGCTACCAGAGCCCGGTATAACATGTCCACATAAAATCACAGCAGTATCCTGTAAATTCACCTGTGAAATCCAATCATCTCCAAAACCACTTCGTGAATAAATTTCAAATAACAAAACCAATAATCTCCAATGCCCAATCGTTCATCACAGAATAATAATCAAAAACACCTTTGATTTTACAATCTCCCCCTTGATGGACACATTGGCAAATCCATAAAAATCTTTTGGTATTTGGTGGTAAAAAGCACACTTCGTACAAATGTACACATCATGCTCAAAAATCCAAAAGAAAACAAATGTACACATCGTGGTCAAAATCCAAAAGAAAACTTCTCCCCCTTTTTAAAAGAAAGAAATTCCCAATTGAACCAACAACATGCTCTTTTCAACAACTCTTCAAAAATTCACCTTGCTTCTCCAAAAATCCAAAAATTTTCACATTACTTCTCCCCCTTTTGACAATGATTTCATCAAGCATAGGAATTATGTTCATTAATGTTCAAGAGCTGAGCATACATATAGCATATCAAGTCATGCGTTGCAATAAAAAGAAAATAAACCCATCTATAACAAAACAAGCATGCATTAAAGTATAACCATGAACCAAAGATTTTACAATGAAGCTTGAATCAAGAATCAAAATTCATGATTTCATACGATTTATAATGCAACATCTTAACAAGCACATAGGTTGAAGAATAAACACTAAACACATAGACCTATTGCATTTATCACTCTTTCTCAAATAACCTTTAGCACAAAATAACCAAGAGAATTTTTTGTACTTTTTCTTATCTTGAGCCTTTTTGCTCATATTTTTCTCTTTTATTCCGGGTACGTCCCTATCGTCAAGACTGTTTCCAGGGATTCGGCACCCATTATTTTGCTCACATCGAATACGTCCTTGTCGTCAAGACTATTTTCAAGAATTCGGTATTCATTTTTTTATATTTTTTATTCTCTTTTTCACAATGAGCAATTAAAGGTATTTGAGGAATAACAAGTCAATAAAGCATATATATAGAGCATTTATAAATCAAACCATATGCTAGCATCAACATTGCATATTTTCTTAATTCAAGTATAGAATTTAAGTGTCATGCATCATCTCCCTTAAAAGCAAAATCTAAATCTCATGAAAAGACTAGAATACATACAAGCTATGCTAGAGACAAATAAACCTTCAAAGTATTGCTAGCATGCACAAGAAAATACCATATACATAAACAAAGCTCTCTTTTCTCAATTTTTTTCATTGTCATATTATTGCTTGATAAAACCATGAGGTGCAAACTCCCCCTCAAACCATGCCAAAAGGATGAATTATGCCCAATTCACCACGAAGAAAAGCAAAGAGATTAGAATCCAAAGGTTTAGTGAAAATATCAGCAATTTGCAACTTGGTGTCCAAAAACTGCAACTCAACATCTCCTTTCTCAACATGATCCCTCAAAAAGTGAAAACGAATATCAATGTGCTTTGTGCGTGAGTGTTGAACAGGATTCTTAGCAATATTGATAGCACTAGTATTATCACAAAAGAGAGGTACTTTTTCAAAAGTAAGACCATAATCTTTCAAAGTAGATAAAAGCCAAAGAATCTGTGAACAACAACTAGCAGCAGCAACATATTCAGATTCAGCAGTTGATTGAGCAACACTAGATTGTTTCCTAGAAGACCATGCAATCAATGATGTACCAAGAAAATGACATGTTCCACTAGTACTTTTCCTATCAATTCTACAACCTCCAAAATCAGCATCTGAATATCCACTTAAGCATATAGAAGATGAAGTAGAATACCAAATTACAAACTCAAGTGTATGATTCAAATACCTCATTATTCGCTTGACCGCTTGACGATGTGAAGCACGAGTAGAAGCTTGAAAGCGCGCACACAAACACACAGCAAATTGTATGTCTGGCCTAGAAGCAGTTAGATACAATAAAGATACAATCATACTTCTATATTCCTTTTGATCAACAGCTTCACCATCTTCATCAGGATCTAGCACAGCTGTAGAACCAATTGGTGTTGAAATTGGCTTGCAATTCTCCATCTTGAACCGTCTCAAAAGATCATTCGTATACTTCGTTTGATGCACAAAAGTACCTTGAGGTGTTTGCTTAATTTGCAATCCCAAAAAGTACGATAACTCACCCATCATGCTCATCTCAAATTCCTTGCGCATAGTCTCAGCAAAATCTACAACCAAAGCGTGAGTCGAACAACCAAAGATGATATCATCCACATATATCTGTACGAAAAGTTGATTATCACCATGCTTAAGAACAAAAAGCGTTTTGTCAACCTTTCCCATTGTAAAACCTTTCGCAAGCAAAAAGTTCTTAAGCCTATCATACCATGCCCTAGGAGCTTGTTTCAAACCATACAAAGCTTTAGACAATTTAAAAACATGGTTGGGAAAATCAAGATTTTCAAAACCTGGTGGTTGTTTGACATAAACTTCCTCCTATACAAAACCATTTAGAAAAGCATTTTTCACATCCATTTGATACAATTTAAAACCTTTTGAAGCAGCAAAAGCCAACAAAAGTCTAATTGCCTCAATTCTAGCAACAAGAGCAAAAGTTTCATCAAAATCCAAACCCTCAACTTGTGTAAAACCTTGAGCAACAAGTCTAGCTTTATTTCTCACAATCAAACCATCCTCATTTTGTTTATTTTTGAAAACCCACTTGGTTCCAATAACATTATGTCCAGAATGTGGTTCAACTAAAGTCCAAACTTTGTTTCTCTCAAAATTTTCAAGTTCTTCATGCATGGCGTTAATCCACGATTCATCAGTTAATGCATGTGACACATCTTTGGGTTCAAAAGAAGCAACAAATGCGGAATTTGCACAAACATCATGAGTCGTTACCTTAGACCTTGTAGTCCGCTCACTTATATTACCAATGATTTGTTCCGGCGGATGTCGTCGTTGAATGTGCAA